TCTATTCTGTGTACGTTTTACTTGTCTTTGAGTTTCCTATTTTTTTCTAGACTTAATAATCTTGTTGGGATAGATTCCCTTTTCAACTGTTAAATTTTAACTGGTTTATTTATTGATCATAGTTTTGTCTTCTCAAGTACAAAACAATTGTCCTCAAAATGAATATTGCATATTCTTGCTGTAAGATCATAATATAAGTCGTATATGCAACAGTGACAATAAATCAAGTAAGAAGTTAAAATATTAACATATCAACTTATCTGAATCACTTTTATATCAGTTTCTTTTCTTTGGCAGGCATTAAGCCATTGCTGACGATTAATTGTTTCTTTAGGGAAAACGAAATATTTAATGCCTTTTGTGTCAGTACTTGTATTATTTTTACAATTTCTTATACAGCACGTTGACATAATTTTTCCCATCAACGCAACACTTGAACATCGAATCAAACCTATACTTAACTAGAAGGTCTCTAATTTTAACCATGGATGTAGCCATAAATCCATAAGAAAATTGATCAATCGCAATCGTTCGCAATCATTCTTCGATAGCGAAGAAAATAATCTTCTATAGATCTTATATAGGCCTTTCTCTTTTGACAGAAAGAAATGGAAGATGTATCATTTTTCTACCTTTCATTTTTCAAAGTAAAAAACGGACATAGAAAAAAGAAAGACATAAGAAGAATAACAGAAAGACAGAATAAAATATTGCTCTCTCGCTCTATCAATTAATTAATATTATCTCTCATTTTATCTTAAGAAGGCGTATCGAGTAATATATAGGATTTGAGGAATAATCAAATCTCATTGTAATTGATCAGTTTTCTTATGAATTTATGGTTCTGACAAATTTATACAAAGGCCGTAATTGATGTCATATCCTTGAGTCATATCCCTACTTTAGAAATCAATTTGAAAAAGATAGACATTTATTTTTTTAAATGATTGTTATTAAAAATCAAAATATTTTATTATTATAGACATTTATTAGACATTTTAATGTTACAAAATAATATGATTATTTAATAATAAAATGTATGTTGTCATAATCTTGCCAAATATTGATTTCTTTTCTATACAAAATTTTAGTTTGAAGTCGGATAAAATATCTTATCAGGGGATCGATCATGTAACTTTTCCCCTAGGGCGGAAACGTGAAAAGTGAAAAGTTTCACGTGAACTTACGACCATGATTTTGCGGGATCATGTAACTCTCTCAAACATGAAAATGTGAAATTTTTCACATGAACTTTTTCGCCATGTACCTTGGTGGCGGAAAGGCAGAAATCTAGGGAATTAATAAATATGCTTCGGAATTAGAGAAGATTAGGGCTGCGTTAGGATTAAGTGTACGTAATACATATACAATTGATTATTAAAAGTATATAATACTGTACCAATAAAATAATTTTCATTAATTATAAAACCTGTATAAAAAATATTTCATGATTTCACTTTCCACGCATCCAAACTACATACATAATCACTGTACGTGAAATGTCAAGGTGTGAAAAATGAAAAGTGAAAAATTTCACGTAAAGTTACATGATTGACCTCCAGATCATAATAATCTTATAATGGACTCTGTTATGGTTGGTTTCTAAAATAATTTTAATAAGAACTAATAAAAGCTGGTTATGAACCAGCCTTTATCTCTAAGGGACTTTAATTCTTATTAGTTTCAATATAGACTCGATACAGCAAAAAAATGATAATTTTCTATTTTAGTGAATGTGAATTTTTCATAATCAAATTTTTTTATGTGGTTCTAATTTAATACTTGATAATAAAAAATAGTTGAATATGTGATATTAAAAGTTACTTGGAATTACCTTGTGATAATTCTTGATATTTTGAATAATATTTTCTTAAATGCTATTATGGATGATTAGAGAAATTTCAGGTTATTTTTATTGATGATCCTATGAAGAAGCTTATTTTATTAGCATCTAGTTTTGAAAAGTTTAGAAATATTATTTAAAAATTTATATCATATGCGAAAAAATATAAAAAAATTTATAGTTGTTAATTTATTTTTTTAAAAAGTAGAATATTTTAATAATTTATATATTTTTTTAGATATTCAGTATGGAAGATTTGAGAGGAGGCATTATATAGCATTTCCGAATATTGGATCTTATGATATTCAGTCAAATATAGTTGGATCTTATGATATTCAGTCAAATATAGTTTGCTAATTTATAAATTGATTAAAGAAAATTACCTTCAAGAATTACTAACATTACTGACTTATCTTAAATGTTATAGAGATGTTATATTGATTGTAAAAGAGAAATAATGAAAAATTTTAAGAGTTTTCCATGATCTTTAAGGAACAGTTTTTAGCTCAATTTTATATCTCTAATGATTGATGATATTATATAAGGAATGAATCCAGGAGATAAAATATTATAATTTATTGATGACATTATATCCTGTCAAAATATTTAAGATCAAAAAGGAGAGATATTAAAATGGCAATTAAAAATTGATGAAAAATTAAATTTTATTAGTTTGAATCTTTAAACAAAAAAGTAAATTGAATTGATTTTAAATCAATTGATTTTATTAATAGAAATTTGAAGAGGAATATGAAATTTATACAATTGATTATTGAATCCTAATTTTACAACTGAGTTATTATAAAAGCTCCAAAATTTATGTTATTAAGAAGAGAAGAAAAGAATATCCTAGGAATCATCATCATGATTTTAAGAATAAATATTTAGAGAACAATTTGGAGGAGTGCTTATAAAGACATTGTGATTCAAGAAATTACAACTACTATTATAACTTTCATTATTACTTGAACTTCAGTATTATAAATGCAAAGACAGACATGCTTTTGAAGTTTGGATTTTTATTGCTGCTTGTTTGCATAGGATGTGTTTTATTGTTTGTTACATTTGTAGAGAGAAGTTTACGTCCACAGACTCCAAAAATAAATTTAATGTATGTTCAAACAAACGAGATGGCTGACAAATCATCAAGAATTTCAAAAATTATAATCAAACCACCGTGCAAAGCTACCTTTTTGATATGGATCATTACATCTTATGCGGGTGAACCCTCTGCAAGAAGCGCTTTACGGCGAGCATATACGAATGAGGAGTTGCAGGCTTTAGGAATCGGAAGAATATTCTTACTCGGTACATTAAGCGGTGATGCCGAAAGGAAGACGCACGTGTCGCAGAATGCATTACTGGACGAATCACGACGGTTCAATGACATACTTCAGGGGGATTTTGTGGACACTTATAGAAATTTAACTCGTAAGCACTTGATAGGTCTTCAGTGGGCAGCAAATAATTGCAAAGGCGTTAAATATATCATGAAGATGGACGATGACATTGTTATAAATGTATATGGCGTGTTGGAAAAGTTACGCTCTGGTATAATAGAAGAGAATTCTTTAGCGGGTTATGTCTTGAAAAATATGATCCCTGTTCGAGAGCCAGCCAACAAATGGTACGTGAGCAAGGCGGAGTATGCGGGTAACATTTATCCCGATTTTGTCTCTGGTTGGTTGTACATTCTGCATTCATGGGTAGCAAGTAGACTGATTGATTATGCTGAATCTTCCCGTGAATATTTTTGGATAGACGACGTATTTGTGACTGGCATTCTGAGACAGGCTCTAAACATAAAAATTAAAATATCAGTGAATTATATACAACAGATTATAGATATTTGGAATGTTGTATGAAAGGAAGAGCAAATCTGCTTAAATGTGAGTTTTTAATTGGTCCTAACGGCGGCGACGTAGAGTTACAAATAAGATTTAAGGCATTCGCGAAGTTTTGCCATACAAATTGTTCTGTTCGTAAAGAAAATAATCTCGTCAGTAAAACTTGCGTAGTAGCATATAAAGAGCCAAAACTGTACAATGGTGCTGTGCAGATAAATCCAGTTAAAATTTTATAAGAGAGTTAATGAATCGGTATGTAAACTAATGAGCTTAATAACACTATAATATATAATTTTATTATACAGAATATTTTTTATTTATTGTATATAAAATTTCTACAATATATTTTACATTTTACTATTATATCAAGTTTGTAGAATCACAATTATTCATTTTACCTATTTTTTTTATCACGTCATAGTTCTTATATATCACACACACACACACACACACACACACACACACACACACACACACACACACACACACACACACACACACACACACACACACACACACACACACATATATATGTGTGTGTGTGTGATACATAGTTTCTCTAGTCTAAAGTAAAATAAAGTAAAATATGGTTGGCACAAATTTTTTAAATCAATATTTTAAAATAAAAACTAATTTGATATTTTTTTTCAAAAATAGATGTTGATAGTTGAAACAAAATACTTATACTATTTTTAATCAAAAACATTATAGAAAACAAAAACTTAAATAGTTGTTTACTCATCATCGAAAGAATTAAAAACAGAACTAAAAATAATTAATTTTTATTTAATTAAAGAAATATTAAAGACAAAAGCTAAAAAAATATTCTTTGTAGCTTTTTGGATGTTAGAGAAAACATTTTATAATTTTCACAACTAAAGAAAAATGTATTTTTTGTATTCGTCTAAAAACACGCTTTATTATTATGGAAATTAAAAATACTATCTATTAATTTATCAACATAAATAACTGATATAAATTATCGATGTATCTCTCCTTCCTTACCAAATATTTTATTTCAACATATAAGAAGATGAGAAGTTGCGTTTAGATTTCTTTTTCGGTAACTGGAAGGTAGCGCCTAAGCATAAATGATCACTACCTACTACAAAATTTGGTATTCTCAATGCAGCGCATTGGCTTACTGTAGGTAGGATATATTTTTCTAAAGGTTGTATGTTGCTGTAGAAAATATAGTCCACAGTAATCCATTCATCTTGATGCGTCGTCGCTTCTTTCTCACCGTGAGCATCTGTGTGCGTATAAACGCTGCGCATGTTAAAGGGATGTGTTAGAGTACCGGATGAGAATTTTGCGGAATGACCTTGCACGATTTCGATGACTTGCGTATAACTGGTATCGCTGTTGATGTTTTGTTGTAGCAGATTGCAAGGCGTGGATATATTCTCATCTTTCTGAAGATGTGATTCGCTGTTTTCCAACTGATTTTAAAAACAATTAGAAAATATAATTAGAAAAGTAATTCCCGAAATATAAAAATAGAAAGAAAGAATAGATTGAAAAAAGATCAAAGTATAAAATTTAGAATTGAAAGCTTGCTTTCTTTAGAACCTTTAGAATCAACGAATATGGATTGAAAAGCATATTTCCTTAATATAGAATAGAAAGACTTCATATAAAAAGACTTCATAGATTTTTATTTATATATGCGAAAACATACCATGACTCTACCAGTGCCTTCCTTTCGCAATCTTTGAGTCAAGATATTAAAATGCTGACAATTGTCAGTGACACATAATCGTGATGGTATTAAACAGTTGGACAGGGAACGATATTGAGTAGGTTCCAAATTCCGTCCTTTGCCATAGTACTCAAATGAACCTTCTGTCAGGAACTTATAAACGCCTGTGAATGGTTCCAAATTGAAGTCACCCGCCAATATAATTGGTAAATATTTCGGGCCCGTTCTACAAAATTAATTTTATTATCAAGTCAATATTTGTAAAAATCAGACGCAATAAGCAAATAGTTTCACTAAAGCGTCTCCTTACATAGTGTTCTCGATGAATGCAATGCGTTCTATTTCCGCTAATAAAAGCTGTATCTGCGCCAATCGTACATCGTTGCGTCTCGGATTATATAACAAATGCGTAGTGGCGATTACTACTTGCGTTTCTGGATTATCTTTGAGAGACAATTTAACGATTATTCCGACATTATCTCTATTTAGAAGCTCGACTTTGGATTGATATAACTCCACCTTTGCATAATCTAACAAAACGAACTGATCAGAATGATATAACAAGAGCAAGCCGTCCACCTTGTTGTTAGTTCTCTTTTTATATAAATATTCATATCCATGCTGTTTAAACGGAGCCACAAAGTCTAGCAGATGCTCCTCCTGCATTTCCTGGAGGCATATTACCTGGAATATTCGATAACAGCACACAATATTATCTCTTCATATCAAATTTCATATTACAATGCTGAAGAACAAGTATGTACATTTGCCTCTGCTTCAAATATCTCTTGTATGATGAGAGATTTTCGTGTTTTCCATTTTAAAGCTTTCTTGTTGTGATTTGTATAGAGATATAAATGATCTTCCAACAAGTTTTGAGCCAGGATATTGAAAGATAGAAGTTTCAATATGAAAGAATCTTCCATAGTATTAATTGGTCTATCTAAAAATATTTAAGATATTGTGTTTGTTATACAATTGTGTAAGCATTATAGAAGATTTGTATATTTATTTGAAAATTTAATATTTGGAAAAACAAAAAAAAGATAATAATTTTTACCTTTTTCAAGTCGTTTCCATTTTCTTATAGCCTTGTATCTTTGTTTGTTGTCAATATATTTTTTTGTATCTGTTGTACATACACTGGCTTTAACACTATGTGCCGTATCCGTAAATACTCCAGTCTGACAATATATCAAATTGTTCGCCGCTGTGTGAAATGGTATATCGCACATCGTGGTGGCATTACTCTGGGTAAGGCAAGCATCAAGATAAGGTTCCATCTTGACTTTTATACACTTCTGATGTGACGCAGGATCATCCATAGAGACAGCGAGGTCCAAATAATGGGAAACCAAAGCCTTCCAGAGAGGATTCTTGTATAGATTTTCCAGAAGTGATCGTTGCCAAGTCTGTTCTGGCATACAAAAGATCTGAAAGGATCATTGGAGAAAGTAAGTAAAATCGCACGAACACGACACCTAAGGCAAATCAAACAGAGATAAGAGATAAGGAAGAGGTATGCAAGATGATCGAATTCGACAGAATCGCACGTTTCCGCAATTTCCGCGATCGAGAACGATCGTTAACAGTCCGAGGCGATTTTCACGAGGGAACGGGGATTGATCGGTGTCCTAACCTAGCATACACCGCTGGATCAAGTAACTCGCGACAAAGCGAGATCGGTCATCGCGAGGTTTCTCGGCGAGGGGCGCGTGGGTCGCCGTTTTCGCGGGAAACTCGCTTACCTTACGCGATTGCGGGAACGTCGCTGTCCGCGCGTTACATGCTACGTTCAATAGGGAAGCGGTGTTTGTCAGCAGCAGCCTCGGGGACGCGTTCATTTATCGGCGCGAATTTCTCCTACGCGATTATTGTCGCACGATCCTTTCACGCTTCTACATACGCTTCTTGACATTGCATCTATCGACCGTAATCTAGGATCTGGCACTGTTATCACAGTTGATTTTTCGGAACCTCCTACGTGCGCCTACATGCCACGAGGAGAGAGAACACGACGCAGAATAAATACCAGCAACCCCAACCTACAGAGATCGTCGGTCGTCCCTGAACGAATTTCCTCTCTTTCTTTCTTCTTTTTCTTTCTC